CACGGGCTGCGGCACGGGCAGGGCAGGGCAGGGGCCACGCCACCTGGCTGGCAGCCCCGAGTTCACCATCCCAGGAGCTGGGCTATTAATGGGCGGGACCAGAGGGCCAACACTTCCTGCCACTGGCATCTCCTGAGGGTGCTGGGCCCAAGCCCAGTGCCCACGGGGCCAGAGCAGACCCTGCACGCACAGCGGGCACTGACCTCCGTGCCCGGGCACTGCCCGTCACAGGAGAGCCTGAAGCCGCCCTGGGTCAGCCACTCAGGGGAGGGGGGGGCGAGGCTGAGTGTGGGTCTGCGCGGGAGACTTGGGGCCCCTGAAAGGAGGGAAGGGCAGAGGGAGGAGGGGAGAGGGAGGAGGGGAGAGCAGGCGGCTCCTCCTCTCACTGTGGCCATGAACTGGCTGCGTGGCCTGGAGCCGACCCCATGCCCTCCGGTGCACGAGCAGCCACGAGGCCCTGCCCAGTGCTCGCAGCCTCCCCTTTCGACATGATTGAGGAACCCAGGCTACCGCCTCCTGTGGCTATTTCAGTGAAAATAAATTAAATTTAAACAAAACGGAAACTTCAGTTCCTCAGCCTCATCAACCACATTTCAGACTGTCAGAGGCCCACGTCCTGGCGGTGCAGACACAGACCGTGCCCACCAGCACGGGGGCTTCATGGGCACCATGGAGACGTGCACGTGGGGACATACGGCTCACACCACATTCTGGAAGTCACTTTTGAAAATATGTATATTATTGATTGAGAGGCAGGGAGAGGGAGAGAGAGAAACATCAGTGATGAGAGAGAATCACTGATAGGCTGCCTCCTGCACGTCCCTCACTGAGGATGGAGCCCACAACCTGGGCCTGTGCCCTGACCGGGAATCGAACGGGGACCTTCTGGTTTATAGGTCGAAGCTCAGCCCCTGAGCCCCGTGCCAGGCAGGGGTAAGGTCTTTGAGAGACTCCTGGGTTATGTTGTTGTCAGCTGCCTGAAGTCCTCAGGTGACTGGGAGTGAGCCGGCGTGCTACCTGTGCCACCTCTCCTACAGGGTCTCCTCGGTGACCTGGCGGCCCCAGTGCGGGCTGACGTGTGAGCAGGTCGGCCTCTTCCCCCTCAGCGCCTCCGTCCAGTTCATTCAGGTCCCTGCCCGGCTCCCCCGGCCCCTGACCAGGTAGGTCCCTGACCTGGTTGGTATTTTTTAGGAAGAAAAATATAGATCTTTGAAAGTAAATGTATTTCTTTAACTTTCGATACTTCTCACCAAAAGGATGCTTTGTGGCAGCTACTGTAATCTTCTAAAATGTTTTCTAGATTCCAGATCAATTTCACAGAGTATGATTGTAACAGAAACGACGTGTGTTGGCCGCAGCTTCTGTATCCCTGGACCCGGTATTACCAAGGTAGGGCACAGCCGATTTCCGGAATGGGTATCGTTATGTCCTGTGTACAATTTTAAAAAGAAAAATGTACCGATCATGTTGCCACTTAAAAATGATGGTTATGGCCCTGGCCAGTGTGGCTCGGTTGGCTGGGCGGCGTCCTGAGTGCCGAGAGGTTGCCGGCTCGATTCCCGGTCAGGCACCTGCCCGGCTGGCGGGCTCAGTCCCCTGATGGATGTTTTGCTCTCACTTCAATGTTTCTCTCTCTCTCCCTTTCCCTTC